TATTAATAATTATTTTTTGTAGGTATAATTAATTATATTGTATGTGAGATATTAAGAGATTTAACATTTGGTAATTAAAAAAATTAAAGTGAACTTTATATTTAAAAATATTGTATTAATGTTTAATTTAATAATGATAGTATAAGTGAAACTTAAAAATAAGTGTTGTTTAGAATATTAGTATAATAAATTTATGAATTAAAATTTTTTTTTATTAAGCATTTTTATGCATCACCAACAATGGACTTGTTGCTGAAGATGTGTGGAATTCAAAAGAGTAATTAGCAACAAGAGTCTTATTGTTAAAAGTGGGGTGGCCTACTACTACTCATGGGATTATTAGCAACAAGGCCCTTGTTGCTGAAAATACAATGCTACAACATGCAGGAAAGTTTCAACAACAAGGAACACGTTGTTGAAAAGGTGCCACAATTCGTTAGCCGAATTTGGTGAGCACTTTTAACAACAAGAGTCATGTCGATGAAGCCATATTTTTAGCAACAAGGAGCATGTTGCTAAAAAGGGGCAAAAATTATGATCACTGGTTTCAATGAAATTTTTAGCAACATAAACGATGTGGGTAAAACTCCACCTTCAGCAACAAGAGGTATGTTGCTAAAAAGGGTGGTATGAATCAGCAACGTGGAGCTTGTTGTTGATGTATTACCCATCAAAACTTCTCCAACAAAGATATCAGCAACATGATTTTTGTTGCTAAAGTACTTTTAGCAACATGAGGAGCACTTTCACCAACGTGCCCCCATGTTGCTGAAAAATGAATTTTTAGTAGTGATCGTTAGTGAAAATGTTGTTAGCATCGGTTATTACCATGATACTTCGAGTGATAAGTTATGGTTTCGAGTCGTATAGCATTTGATTAAAAAGAAATTAACACATAAAAAGAGAGTTGGCATTTTTATGTAATTTAAAATTAAAAAAAAAAACCATTTATTATATCATGCTCCCATAATTTATTGTATTTTTATAACTTAATTAAAGAAATAATCATTTCTCATACCTAACTAGCCACAGCCTCAAAGTACTATGCCCTTACTTAACTAATAAAGTACTCTTTTTTTCTGGTAAATAAAGAGAATATTATAGATAATTAAGCAGCTACAATAGTTCTTGGGATAACAGTCCCAACACAGTCACGGTACAAAATAAAGGTGAGCTTAGGAGGACTCTCATCATACACAACAAAATCCTAAACATTAGTTGAACTAAGTTTAGCAAGAAACATTAGTTGAACTAAGTTTAGCAAGAAA